ATAATCCAAACATCTCACAATCAGTATGACACTGGACTGACTGATCACAGTGGAAGCTAGCAGCAAACAACCAATGCATTAGTACTGGTATGTGTTGGCTAAATTGCAGCCCTAACTGCTTCCAGGGGACACAGGATGTAGTTCTGATCTCCATGCCAGGCATACTGGCTTTCAAACAACTGAAAAGATGCTTTGTTAATATCACATTCCACTTTGACCTCATAAGATGTTGAGAGGGGAAAAAAGGCAATATGACTGGCTTTGCTGTCTGGGTATGCCAGGATCAACTAGCTTTCCAGGGTAGACCGCTATCATAATACTACCTGTGATGCATCAATCCCATTTCATTGAGTGGTATTTACTTCACCCAGGAATCTGGGGAGTTCCACCACAGACTCTAATCCCGACCAACACTATTAAACAGTAGGGGAGATCATGGGACTGTGAATAATGTCAGTAAAAATAAACTTAAAATTATGCCTTTAAAATAAAACAAATTAACCTAATTATATTTCAAATAAATACCCTAACCACACTAAAGAAAAAAAGAAAACAGAAGACAAGAAACAACCAATCCAAGTAACTTATAAACACAGTATTTGACTATATACCTCCAAAGTACAAATCCTCAATTAGGATGAGTTTGTGGGGGTGGATATTATTAATAAATCTGGAACTCTTTTTATTAGGTTTATTATAGTGGTATGGATGAAGTAATTTTGAAACTCTCTTAGATGTATTACAGTATTAAGTAAATGTGTTGACGTTCTTGGGAACCAGGGTTGTCATTGTAGGAGGAGGAACATACAAATATGAATTGGGGGATGCAAGAAAGAATCTTGTGTGCTGGAATTGAAGCTGTGCGAATTCATGATTTCTTAAATAGGTATGTGTGTATATATAGCTGTGTATATAGGTATTTGTGTATATAAATCTATGTATATAGATATAAGTACACATGTGTGTATATACCTACAGATATTTCCTAGCTTTGTCTGCTGAAAGAGCAGAAAAAGCAGATACCCCAGTAGCACACCCAGCACTGAGATCTTGGTTTCTAATACCATTCCCCACCCAAAAGGAGCCAGAACTCTTTAGAGAAATGACTCCAGGGCTGGGACAAAGTAGGCATAAGATGAGCCTGGAACATCTGTTTATGCTAGAAAGAAGATGTTCAAAAAAATTATGAGAGCTTGTCACGAGGACACAGTAGTCAGATTGAAGGGGATCCTAACAGGCCAGATCTAGGACAAGTTGAGCACCAAAATAAAGTATAATAATGAACAATAAACCACTGAAAAATAAGAATTCATGAGTCCATACCAGTAATATATAGGAGACAAGGGAAGGCTTATGCTTGTAGAAGAATGCCCAGGGAAGACTGGTAAGTGGGAAGCAAATGCTAGAGTTGGAAAAATCATAATAAAAGATTAAGGCATGAATCATCAATGGATGCTAAATCTAGAGGACATTTTGATGAAAAGCAGGCTATTTTTAGGCTCTTAAGAGTATTTCCTACAGACTTTTTAATAGTTGCAAAAGAGAAAAAAAATTAAACTAATTGTACAGTGGAAAAACCAGGCACCATCTTGATCAGGTGATCAAAATTAACATCATCAAGGGACAGATAGACATTGTGTGCCTCCAGATGTGATACCTTGAGTAGGACAGAAAGAACATCACCTACAGTATCTAGTCAAGAATGTATAAAATCATCTAATCACTAGGAAACATCAGACAAACGCAAAATGAGGACCATTTTATTTTACAAAGGGGAGAGTTGCATGAGATTGATTATATCCTTCGAAAATGGCAATGCCATAAAAAAAAAAAAAAAGAAAGGCCATGGAAACGTTCCAAATTTAGAGGCTAAAAAGATAAGTAAATGTAATACATGAACCTAGACTGGATCTTTTACTGGAGGGGGAAAATGCTGTACAGGTGCTATAAGGTCAACTGGTAACACTGGAATATAGACAATTGATTATATAGAACTGCTGTATTAATGTACATGCAGACGGTTGATAAGTGCCCTGTGATTATATAAGACAATTTCTCTATTCTTAGGAAATAAACATGGAAGTACTTGGGGTAAAGGAACAATGCATGTAAGTGAATGATAAAGCTAGTGGCATAAAATGTTAACAATAGGTAACCTAGGTGAAGGGTGTTCTTTGCACTATTTTTTTTTTTATTCTTGCAACACCTTGTAAATTTGAAGTTATTTCCAAATGAAATATAGGAAAAAAAAAGTATGTCTTTGTATCATCAAGTCACAATAAGCAACTATAATCTAATCCTTTTTAGGACCTCAAGTCATCCAACTCTGCTTTTCAAAGAGCGTGGCACAGTTTTCATTTTAACTTTACCTAAAGTTTTACAAACTCCCTATACATGCCATCAAGATTCAGAATGGGAAGAGAGGTATATTCTTGGCAGGAGAGAGGTAGAGACCGAATCTCCAAGGTGAAACTTTCTACTTGCCATATGTGCATGTTCAAAGCACTGATATTTTCAGAGCTAGGCTCAAGGGAACCTTTACTTGTACTTCCCCATAATTCTTTCACCATGAAAGAGGAGACAGAAATGAAAGTCCTATTTACACAAAACCATATAGATAAACATGGATATAGGCCCTATCTCCTTGTCTGCTGGCTTAGCACCAGCTCTTATATATTATCAAAAGTATTTTATCATTTCCCAGCCTGGAAATGATAAAGGAAGGGGAAAGAAAAACTCACAGCAGATTAACTAATTAAAACAGATCAATTCTTCTTGGCAGGCCAGGACCTCATTGTGGCAAACGTTGAGAAGAAGACAGAGATAGGGACATGGATACCTAGCAATACTGACAGAAAGAAGCAAATCATTATATAGGGAATTCCCAAAATCCAGAAACAAAGGAGCCTTCAACCCTCAAATAGATGAGCTCCGATATCAACAGAAATGCCCAACCCTAGGAATGACTTAGGTACATTGTAATGATGGAACTTTCTCTGAAAAGCACCGAAGACCCTTCAAGGTAACTAAGGTGAATCTTCAGAACTTGAATGCAAAAGGGAAATGGGCTTTCTGAGCTGCTGGAAAGTTAGAAGCAGAGATTACTGCTTGGGGATGCCTTGCTCCCCACTGCCCTGTCCCCATGAGGATGTGGCTGAACAGATGTTGAATTTGGTTGGAGAATCAAGAGGGTCCTGGAAGCCTGCAAGGATTTCCTATTATTGTTATAGTTTATTTGTGTTTGTTCTTTCTGAATGGTATAATAAAACTCATGAAAAAGAAAGGACTGAGACACAGCAAGAAAATCAGTTTCTCACATGCTGTGATGCATTACTGCTACGGTCTGTGTCCCCCTAAAATTTATATGTTGAAATCTAATCCCTAATATGATAGTATTAAGAGGAGAGGCCTTTTGAGAGGTGATTAAGTCATAAGGGCAGAGCTCTCATGAATAGGATTAGTTACCTTATAAAGGAGGCCCAAGAGAGCTTGTTTGCCCCTTCTGCCATGTGAGGACACAGCAAGAAGATGCCATCTATGAAGAATGGGCCCTCACCAGATAACAAATCTGTCAGCACTTTGATCCTGGACTTTTTCAGCCTCCAGAACTGTGAGCAATAAATTTCTGTTGTTTAAAAGTTACCCAGTCTAAGGTATTTTGTCATAGTGGCCCAAATAGACTAAGATACTTACTTTGCACAGTGTCACTGTACTCCCATCAGGAACTCTAAAGGCCAAGGGAAGTTAAACTAATCTGCTCCTGACTTGTAGCTACCTTATTTCAGCCAAGTTTCTAGATCCATGGTTAAATAGATCAGGAAATGAATCTAACCAAATAGGTATGTGTGGGAGGGGAGATCTTTCTACCAATCGATAGTAAGTTTGAAATTGGACAGAAAGATATAACTTAAAAACATGTTGTAATCTGCATGGGGAAGAGATTGCACTACCAAAAGGGTGGTCGTGCAGAATCTAAAGTACAGGGATCCAAAGGAAAGAACTTTGCCAATGCTTATCTGATCCTGCCCAAGGGGGTAAAACATATCTAGTAGATACAAGTATTCTGGTAGCCACAGAAGTATACTCTATTGTGTAGGGCAAGAATAGCTCACCACGCTTCTCTGTAGCCTAGATGAAATAGACTTCAAAACCAGTAATGGGAAAATCCTCATTTGTAAAGTAGAGATGATTATAATATGTACCTCATAGGGTCATATGAGGATTTAGTGGGTTGATACAGGAAAAAGTGCTTAAAATAGGGGCTGGCATGTGGTAAGCACTTAGTAGGTATCAGTTGTTATTATTTTTTAAGACCCAAGATTACCTTTGGCCTGATTCTATATTCAATTAACAACAATTCTATTAATTCTAATTTTACTAGTACCTTACAAATCCAAGAAGAGAGGTGACTTAGAAGGGAATCAAGAATTCTAGTCAAAACTGAGTTTCTAGATCTTCATAGTTGAAGACCACATCATGGAACTGTGGTTCTCAGCAGTTCTGTACATTAGGAAGCATTTTTGATTGTCACTATCACTGGGATTCTGCTGGAATTTAATGCCTAGGGGCTAGGGATGCTGGTTGTGGTCAGTCCTACACAATAGAAAAACTGCCCTGCCCAAAACACCCATAGTGCTCAAATAGACAAACACTGCCCTAGACTACAATGATTCCACCAAAGTACTTACCTCCAAGGCCTAAGCAGCCAGCTGAGCCATCCCTAAATTGTATCTAAATGCAATATCCCATAGTTCTTATATTATCTACAATTTCATATCTGTTAATCACTCTGCTGCTTCCAGATAGCTCCACCAATTGACCCAGATGGTATGTGAAAAGAGCCCCTGCAGTTTCTGAAATTGGGTCATTGATGCCAAATAAAATCTGTTCTCAACATTCCAGAGAGGGTCAAAGTTTGGTAAAATGGAAAAATCCCTCAAGGAAGAGGTTGTCTAAGCCTTACACAAAACCATAGCAGTGGATTGGACTAGCATACTCACATTGGTGAGATCTTCAAAAGCTGATCTCTTTTTGAGTGCTCCTTGAGGTGAAGATGGAGATATCTTTGCTTGGTAATTCTCTCCCCTCTACAAAAGTAAAAGAGATAAATGAGTATATCCAATTGTGAACAGTCTCTTCAGGGACTTTGTGTTATCTTCAGAGTTCAGCAGAAACACCAGAACCTCAAAGGAACCAGGAATGCACGTAATAAACTCCAATAAACTACAACAAAAGGACATTTTGGCATTCAGAGCTGCTTTTTGAGTCCCTAAAGGTGGTAGTCACTCATGATGGGAGACGAGATGATCTTCAGCGTAACTCTCAAAATCAGCAAAATATAGCTTGATAAAGTTAATTTTTCCTCTTACTTCTCTCATATTTATAGTTATTCTATCTAAGATGAACCATTACCTCCCCCACCACTCCTAGTTATTCCTTTAATATGGATGCTTTCAGGTAAATCAGTTTAACAATTTAACATATATTTAAGTATCTCTTATATTAAGTAGCTTTTTAAAGACATTTCCAATAAGGATAATAGTGCACATACCTATACACTGGTCCGGGATCAGTTCTTTACTAGCTGTCGACCTTGAACAAGTCACTTAATCTCTGAGCCTCAATTTTCTTATCAGTAAAATTAGAATGATAACCTACCTTAGAGTCCTTCAGAATCAAATAAGAGAATATGTGTTTTTAAAAATACTCTGTATAAACTTTAAATGGATGGAAACAGTATTTAAAAATGTGTAGTCTGATATGACTGTAAACCTAACAGGGAAAATTTTGTATTTTAAGAAAAAAGTTTTGTAATCCAGATTAATCTCTAATTGTTAGCGTATATAAGGGAGGGAGAGGGGCAAGAAGGAGGGGTGAATATTTTGGAGCAGAAGGAGCTTTCTTTCTAGGTATTCTGTGTCTGTGCATGCCTTACCTCGCTCCCAGAATATGACCATCTTTATGGGGTTAGAGGTTAGGGCAAATCACACTATAGGGTTCTTCTATCCCCTAACAGCTTTTACTTGGTAAAAGTCTCCTATATCTCAGATTTTCCTTATGAAATTCTAAGAACCTGCCCTACCTATATCAGAGAGTTGTTATAATGTGAAGCAGGACACTGGGATCAGACCATTTGCTTTGTTCTCTATTTAGGCCATTAATAAACAGTACATGGCACAGTAAGTGATCAGAAATTTAGAGAACTGGATTCATGATACAATAGACCAATCTGGTACAATAGAGTAATCCTGGAAGAGCTGAGAAGAATTATTTTTGTTCTCTAATTGATTAAGCCAAGAAATAAGTAAACTATTAGTCTTTTATCTAGTTCATGATAAATAAGCCTAGTAGAAATAATTAGCAAAATATAAAATATTATTTTCTCACAAATTATCTAAGAAATAAACTGTCAGTATGTTATCCAATTCCTACTTAATATTACTGGTAGAAATAATCAACTAAAAATAAAATTACAGCTGAAACTGAACCCAGTAAAACTTAAGATTTGCAAAATTGTTCCAAGAAAAGTTAGATTTGGAAAAATAACTGCCACAAAAGAAAACTTACAGTGGTAGAATTCTAGTCAGAAAATTTGACATGGACAAAATCCCAATCAATGTACACAAACTTTCTTGACAAATTTACATGGGAAATAAATTTGGCCACTCCATGAAAATCATTTTAGTAAAACAAAAATGAAAATGATTAGCAAATGTTTATCTGTGATGAGAGAAAACCAATCAAGGAAATTAAATTCATCTAATGATGTTTGCTCCAGGAAATACTCTCTTGATTATAATTCATCAGCATTAGTATAATTCTGATTATGTATGATCATGAACATCGAACACCCCAAGGTTAGAATAACAATGTCAAACTACCCATAAAGTCAAAACAGTAGTGTAAAAAATACACTCATTTATCAAATTTAATAGCTGTGAAAAGCATGATAATATATTTGCTGATGTAATCTTCTTACCAGGAGGTACCAAACAGCCTCTCAGCAAGGTGCTTTGAGCTTCTCAGAGAAAGTAAGAATATAGATGTGATGAGGGCTGAGTGTTGTTTGTTTTTGAGGGTTGTGGAAGTGGTCTTCATTTAAGCACTACATTTATGGGAAGGAAGAGTTCATACTTCCTCCCCAAGTTCAAATTTGCTGGTATTCTCCAACTACAAGGGCTGCCACCCATCCCCAATTTCTCAGAGTAAACCAGACATATTCCAAAAGATCCAAGGGTGAGGATGGGTACTGAACCAACACAGGAAGAGACTACCTGACACACTGTTGAGAAAGATAGCTTGCTCTAACCTTTTCATATTGGCTATGATCACTGGGCACAATTTTGCTGGATGAAGATTTCTTAGTCTTGGGTTTGGAGCTTTGGGGTAGTAGTGGCAGTGGCATCTCTTACAGATTCAGCAGTGTCTTGTCCGAGGTAGAGCTGCAATCAGAAAGCGACTCTTTAAAACACCATTTACCAGAAACACCATAGAATTCTCTGGAAACTGTTGAGAAAACCTAGTCTCTCTATAACATCGCTAGGAGAAAATGGACTTTGAAGTTGGACAGATCTGGGTTCCAATCTTGGTTGTATCACAATTAACCTTGGGCAAATGACTTAAACTCCCTGAGCTTCAGTTACCTCATCTGTAAAATGGAGATAAGTATACCTATCTCTGCAGGCTGTTGTTCAAATTAAATGAGATATTCTATGTAAAAAGCCCAGCGCAGTGCCTGCCGTCCTCTGTGGACACTGGGATGTGGCCTAGCCCCTAGTTTAGGCTTAGCAACACCGTAGACAAATTATGTGGGAGTTTTGCATTGAAAACAATGAAGAACTTGACAGTTCACATAGCATGGAGGCTAGCTAGTAGAGTTAATGTTCTTTAAAAGACATGGGTTCCTGGCAACAGCAATTCTAATGACCCTACAGAGAAGACAAGAGAATGACTGCACATGCACATATGCATGATAGGCCAAACAGTATTCAAAGGATGCATTCAATCGGAAGAAACTGTAACCCAGTTCCAGACACTTGGTAGGAAAATCAAAATTCAAAAGATGAGATATTAAGTATATAATTGGTGACTAAATGTCTTTCATTTTAACTCACAAAAGAGGACTTTTCCAAAGAATTTCAAAAGCATACACATGTATTTTCTTGCCTGCTATTTTTATAGAAAGTAAATGAATTATTATCAAAGGTATAAATCTATGACACTGAAATGACATTGTCACATTTAAATAAAATAGATTTGTAATAGTAAAAAAAAAAAAAAAAGAGATAAACAGCAGAAGGAACTAACTTATTAAAAATCACTTGACATAAGAATTTAATGGTCATTACTTGATCCCAATATCCTTGGAGGGGATTACCTTTGCCCCATCTCAGTGTGGGACCCATTTTATATTCCTTAAGGTTCTTCAAGTTTGTGAGTCCTCAATACTTAGGATACACGTATGTGTCTTACAAGCAAATACATAATTAGGAAGAATCATTGTTTGGATACACAAAAGACTCTTTCCAACCAGATATATCTGCCTTCTAACTCGACTCACATTTAATTTCCAAGTTCAACTGCATTTGACAAAGAACAGGCTTTCCTAAGAGAGATCTAAAGGCAATGCAACAAACTTACCACTATGTACCAGATACTTCAGGCAATGGAGACATAAACACAAATCATAGATCTTATCATATACATATTCACATACACAGTTCTAATGTTAACAAAAATGTGACAAATGATTTAATAAAGGTAGATACAAAGTACTTGTTATGGACTGAATGTTCCCATCCATCTGCCCAAAATTCATGTTGACATCCTTTCTTTCTTTTTTTTTTTTTTTTTGTAGAGATGGGATCTCACTATTTTGCCCAGGCTGGCCTTGAACTCCTGGCCTCAAGTGATCCTGCCATCTCGGCCTCCCAAAGTGCTGGGGATGACAGGTGTGAGCCACCATGTCCAGCCCATATGTTGACATTCTAACCCCCAACGTGATGATATTAGGAGATGAGGCCTTTGGGAGGTGTTTAGGTCTGAGGGTAGAGCCCTTGTGAATGGGATTAATTCCCTTACAAACAACAGACACCCCCCCTCCCAAAGAGAGCTCTCTTATCCTTTTCTGCCATGTGAGGATACAACAACAAAATAGCCATCTATGAACTAGGAAGCAGGAAGCAGACACCAAATCTGCCAGTGCCTTGATCTTGGACTTCTCAGCCTCCAGAACTGTGAGAACTAAATTTCTGTTGTTTAAGCCACCCAGTCCGTGGCACTTTACTATAGCAACCCCAACTAAGACAGTACTATAGAAACATAATGGAAAGTCAGTAATCCTTTCCAGGATGGGGGTAGAGGAAGCAACATTTGATCAGGGCTTACATGGCAAACAACTCCCCAAGGTGACTAAGGAGCTTTCTAGGCAAAGAAAGCCTGAGCCCAGGCAGAGGCATGAACACAGAGTTCAGGGACATCCTAGAGGTCTGGAGGATGGAACATAAAGAATGTGTTGGGGAGGGGTTAGAAAGGAGCTGAAAACCTAGGCTGGGGCCAGGCTGGTAAGAAAGGCATGCAGAGAAGACTGTAGCTTGACGGGAAAGTTTAAGGAGAAAGGCTGATTTGGGTTTTTCTTTGGATGGAGAAGTATTAGACATTTTGTAGGTGAGGACAAGCCAGTGCAAGCATGTGCCTTCACATTTATTACTTCAGTTGATCCTCACAACAAAACTGCAAGGGTAAGCAGAACAGATATAATTCTCTCCATTTTATAGTCTCAGATGAGCTAAGTGACTTACTACCCAGTACAAACTATTAAGTGGCATAGGCCACCCAGCTCTTTCCAGGGCTCTTTCTAAAATACCATGAAGTCTCTCTGATCACACTCAAAAACATTCCAAAACAGTGAAAGGCCATAATGTGAAAAGGTAGAATGAGTACAGGCCTTGGAATCTGTGCAACTGGGCTTCTAAACCAGCCAACAGCTATAACACCATTTACTTGCAGAGGACTCGTGTGGCTCAAATGTAAATTTATATGTACAAAACCTGACCCACAGTGGGCACTCGATAAATGGTGCATCTTACTCTCCTTGTCTTCCCTCAAACCCAACCCTATTTTCCATCTCATCCCTCAAACCTCAGCCAAGCAGCAATACAGCTAAATTGGGTGTACCCACCCTTAACTGCACTCTATGAAAACCACCTACCTCACTATTATTATCCATGCCTCATACAATTTTTTATGGATGTTCAAAGGCACATGCTCTGAAACCTTTACCTTTCAAAGGGAAAGAAATCTGGAGTCCACAGGCTAGAAAACTCTCAGTTTATGACATTACAGGTTAACTAAATCTCTGAGAAAATAATATTTTTCATATAATGGTCACATACCACATTCATTATCCTGAACACTAATCACTTGCTTTGGGGGACACATACACTGACAGGTAAACTAATTTCCCTGCTGCTGGGGGTAAGGAGGGGAATAAGAGAAGGGATTGACACCACCAAAAATATCCTTTCATAAAAGGACACTCTCTGCAGGACACTCTCACCTTCTGCCACCTACAGAACCCTGAGCCTTACTTGGACAAGAAAATTAGAATCCTTTCCCCTTTTCAGACTTTCCATTTCCCCTACATACACACTGACAAGTGTTACAGACCCCGCTGGGCAACCCAGGGCTGGTGCTGAAACCCACACAGGGGCAGCAGAGCTAAGCTACTCAAAACAGTCTACAGTAAGGAGTAGCAACTTCATTTTTATATATAAAGGCAGGTTACAGACAGCAAGGCACTGAGCAGAGAAAGCAGCATGGTGTCAATAAAGCAGCACTGGGCTGGGAAGGATGCCTAGGGTCTAGTTCTGGCCCTGCCCCCAGCTGGGTGACACTGGGCAAGTCCCTTTACCTCTCTGGGCCTCAGTTTCTCCACCTAATAAAAAGATGCAATGGGACCAGAGCCTCCTACTCAGTGTGGTCAATGGACAAGCAACATTAACATCACCTGGAAGCTTGTTAGCAATTTAAAATCTCAGGCCCCAAACTAGGGCTACCAAATCGAAATCTGAAAATTAACAATATCCTCAGGTGATCTGTATACCCTTTAAAGCTTAAGAACCATTGTTCTAGGGTCCCTTTGACCTCTGACCTTCTAGGATTCTAAGTGGACCATCGCAGAGGTTGGTGGGAAAGCCAGAGCTGAAGAGGGTTGGAGGCAGGGATAGAAGAGAGCCAGCAGAGATAAAAGGTATAACAACGGAGTAAGTACACATGTGTCCATCCTCCCTTCCTCTCCTTCAACCTGTAATTCAAAAGACATCCTGCAAGTAGCATTCTATGACTTAAATATTTCTGATCCCTCAGCACTTGTAGATGAAATTAATCCTGCACACTTTCACTCGTGAAAAGACGTTTTGTAAAAGTACTCTGATTCAGGCACGTGTACTAGTCGCTCCATCTAAATGCTGGGATCCAGTCTCATTTGCTCTGCCATCTCACCCTCTAATACACACTCCCTGCCCAAGCTCGTGCAGGGCTCACTCCGCAGACTGCTGACTGGAAGGAGTACGAGACAAAATTTAGTCGTAGGGACGCTGCGCATCCCTGCAAGAGAAGACAGCGTGTAACAAGGGGCTGGAGTGACGCCCAAGGACTGACCAGCAGGCGACAGAGCCGGACACTGGAGCCGGTAGTACAAGCCCAAAGACGCCTACCTCACACCGAGATTGAGGACAAACAGGAAAGACCACGGACGCACCCCTAGACCAGGAGAGGCCAGGGAAATGAAAGGAGCTCCTTGTCCTAGCGACCCGAGTCCGTCTCAACCTAGCCTGTACGCCCTCCAACCGGTTCAGTTGGGGATTTTGAAAACTAAGGCCCTGAGGAAGCGCAGTGGCGATTGGCCAGCAGAGGGCCAATCAGCGTGCACAGCTGTTTCGTGCACACGCCTAGCAAGGAGGGGCGGGGCTGGATATTTTTAAATTGAACTCTGCAGCTAATGGACTTCGCATTGGGGCGTGGTTTTGAGTACAATTGGTTGCACCAGGCTGGGCTGACTTGCCGGGATCACCGGGTCTCTTTAAAGATACTTTTTCATTTAAATAATCCTGCTGGAGGATGGTGAGAACAAAGCAGCCGTATAATGTAGGTTTAGACCTATTAAAACATTAATATTAATAACCTCTTATAGAATCAAGCATTAACTCCTGCAGGTTTCACAGGTGGCCTTGTGAAGGAAGCAGGGCAGAAGTTACTGCCCCTATTTCATGAATGAGCACCTGAAATGCAGACAGCTAATAGTACTAGTTAACATTAATGCAGCACTAGCTCTGTGCTACTTGCTATAAATTTTTTATTACTTTAAATTCTGTCCCAAAAGCAGGTATTTTTATTATTGCCATTTTACAGATATATTGTAGTTTGCTAACTGCTCAATATCACAAGGCTACATTATGGCAAAGTAGGTACTACAATCCTGATATTCATTTCATTCATACATTAGTTCAGTTGTTTAACAAATATTTATTGAACACCTGCTTTGTGCCAGGAACTAGAAAAAATATATATGAGGGATTGACAAAGGATTTAAAGAATTTATAACCCTGCCCTGTCCTCTGAGGGGGCAAAGAGAAAATGGAGATGCCAGGTATAAAATCTAGGACTTCTTGCATATTCAGCAGGTACTCTACCACTGAACTACATCCTTACCTTTATTATTAGCCCATTCTCCTTTTAGTATCTTGTAGCCTCTACATTAAGGGTAATATATGATCCAGGCCCTCTTCTTAATCTCCCTAGGTTATCTCATCCAGATCCACGAATTTAAATATCATCTAAAAGCTGGCCCTAGTCTCCAGACTCATAAATCCAAATTACTACTCCACATCTCCACTTGGATGTCTAATAGACACTTCAAATTAAATGTGTTTACAATAGAACTCTTAATTATCAACCCCCTCCCCAAACCTGATCCTTCCCCCAATGTCCCCTATTTCAGAAATTAGTACCACATCAAACCTGTTACTCAAGCCA